TGCAGTTAGTGGTGAAAACTAAAGATATTGAGGTGTTGGACTGAATCTCAACAATAGAAATTTTAGATTTTTAGGGAATCTAAAAATTATTAGGTTTAGTGGAACTATAGTTTTAGAAACATTGAAACGTTTCATTTGGATCTACAAATGATTAACTAAACCTGAACTACTAAAACTAAAAACAACAAAATAAAAAAAAATAACTGCAAAATTGTTTTGGTGATAGGTTTCACATAATAATTACCGTTTTGATTTACTTCTTGAGTTATAAATACAATGCCCTTTCGTCAGAGTCGACATCTGATGATGAAAGACTGGACAAGTAATTCTTCTTCTCGTAGCACTACAACCCGGGGTGGTTCTTGGCTGACTGCACAACTTGCTTCCATCTTGAACGGTCGTCCATAATAGTTGGGTCAGTGGGTAGCCCCATTGTTCTTAGATCTGACCATATATTGTCGCTCCATCGCATCGCAAGGACCTTTTTCCTGTGGGGCTTCCTCAAATATTAACTTGGCAAGCGGTTATTAGGGACTCTATGGACATGGCCAGCTCCATCTTAGACGTTGGGATTTAATCTTTTGGACTATGTTGCCCGCTCTATACATCTGCTTGACCTCAGCCTTTGTTCTCATTTGGTATTGGTTGCTATTAATGTCGTGATAAGGCCCAAAGATTCTTCTTAGGATTTTCCTCTCAAAATATCAAGTTTTCTTTCAGTTTCTTTGGTCAGGGTCCACGTCTCACGCCCATACATGAGCACCGGTCTAATCACCGTTTTATATAAAATATTCTAATCTTTGATGTTCGTGTTAGGCTTTTAGATTTAATAGTATTGTGGAGGCTGTACATTTAATCTCTTCCGCGATATCGTTGTCTGCAGTGATTGTTGCTCCGAGATATTTAAAACTCTCCACTCTTTCAAAGGCAACTAATCTCAAAAAGTGTCTATGAACTCTGAATGTTCTTGTTGTTCTTCGTGTGATAACAATTCATTCTACAATTTCAAAAGTTTCGCTTGCTTCTTTTCGTAACTTACTGCAATTTTATTAGAACATGAAACAAACACAATTTTGTATATTCATAACCAACCTTATTATGCGCCGTAGTTTCAACGAATGAACCGGAAACTAAACAAAACATCTACAATTTTAGCACACACACTTGTTAAAACTAAAAAATGGCAACCGATATTTGGGTTCCGCGGCGCTCAGTTGCCAGAGGATCTAAAACCTTATAAGTGGGGTGTCTGTCGTTATAAGTGGCCAATCCTGAGGCAGATTGTCACTCTGGCCGGCCAATCACAAACAGTTTTATTAACTGGGTTGTCATTGGCCTCTCAGCGAAAGATTGCTGCTAAATTGCAAACACGAAGAGTACAAAAAGGTAGCACATCATTCGATCGGGATCTAATTGTCTACTACTAGTCCTTGCTAGACCTTGTTGGCTGAGTGCCATTTGAAAATTCAACGTTTATTATTATTACACAAGATTGAACCTTTGTGAAGAGTTCGCTTTGGAGAAGAGTCCAAACGATTTTATAGTAAATACGAACGAAGTCTATTTGACCACGAAGCATTCACTAGAAGGTGTAGGAGCCGGAGTAGCGATTGTTGGTCATCCTTTTGTCGAGGTGAAAAAAAGTTAATAGTAAACTTATCACCTCACGAAAGGAAGACTCGAAGTGGACATTCCCTGCCTGGGCGAGCATCGATCTTCGAGACAGAAAAGACAGTTTGCCTTATACCACACGTCGAAACGTAAAGGGCTGGCCTGTTTGCGAAATCTAGAGCGTACATCGCAATTAGAATACTCATAGTCAATACATGTAAGAAAAATGATATACCTCAAGTAGAAAACTATCGAACAGTTAAAGTATTCTTAGTTGTCGGTGGGCTTTGAGGACTACAGAGCCACCAGTGAACTTCACGTGGAGTCTGGTTCGGGTACACACCATTACCACGAGGTCAAGGATGGAGTCGGGAAACCTTCAATCCTACTAGAGCGGCGATCGCAGATCATCCAGATATGGAGAATACCTTCGTGGATGCTACGGCCGTACGACATGTCATTTTCAAAATACGTTTTTTGAGAATTATTTTAACTTTTAGTTTTTACTATTTAACTACTAGTTTAACTACTAGTTTAACTATTTAGTGTACAAATCTAATAACTTACTAGAAAAATCAAGTTCGTCTTGGGATGAGATATTTTTCGCTTCATTTTGGCGATTAACGTGTTGAGAACTCAACGTTTTTTATATCTCTTGTATGACACTTTAATTTTAAACGAGCTCATCAGAGTCTTTTATTTGGACAAGTCTTAATATCATACGAATTAAAAAACTAAAAATTTACTTCGTTTTGTTCTGGTAGATTGCTAATAATCACCGGCTAACACTAGTTGAATGCACGTGATTTGGGTTTGTTTAAAAATTATCCATTGCACCTTGATGTGACGTAACGTACTAACGTTCAATGTCAATGCTAGTCATCGGTGAACAGCCATTATGTAATTTGGGTTTGTTTTAACTTACCGTGGAACCAATTACTGGAACGTGATGACCCTACAAATTTGTCAAGCTATTACATTGTGATATAAAGATCGATAAATAATCGAATGCTTTTATTATTCTATTTTGTGGTATTTGTCATCGATCAGAAGACGAAAATAATAACACTTGTTATATATTTTACAATTTTTCGCCTTAAACATGATGAAGTTTATTTATTCTTATGTTTTCTACTGTTCTCTATGCAGTGTGGTTGTCATTCATCTTGTCCCAGCTGATTTTTTTAAGATCGTCACTATTTCGTCTGTTTTTACAGTTTTTAAATTTATTTTTAATTGTAAACAGTATATCAAAACTATTCTTACCTTTTATCTTCTTCTTCTTTTGGCATCATAACCCTGGATGGGTCTTTGCCTGTCTGGCTATGTCCTTCCATTCAGATCTCTCTTGTGCCCTTCTTCTCCATTGTCTTATGTTCATTGTTTTCAGGTCGTCTTCACGTCATCCAACCATCTCGTTCTGGGCCTTCCTATGGGCTTCCATTGTAACATTTTCTTTGTTGTTTTTGCATCGTTTTGTCTCTGCACATGTCCCAGCCATGACAGTCTTTGACTTTTCACAAATCTTACAATGTCATAACCTTCATTTAACTCATTAACCTCGTCGTTTCTCCTGATTATCCATGTGCCATCTTCCTCTTGTACCGGGACATATACTTTCCTCAGTATTTCCTCTCGAATGTCCTGAGTTGGGCTTCATCTTTTTTCGTCATTACCCAAATTTCACATCCATAGATTACTACGGGTCTAATCAGTGTTCTGTAGATAGTCATTTTGGTTCTTTTGTCTAATAATTTCAATGTCATCAATCTTTTATTAGCATAGTATGTACGATTCCCGCTGGAAATACGTGCATTAATTTCGCTACTTACGGAGTTCTTCTGATTGATTTCTGTGCCGAGATATGAAAAGGCATCCACTCGTTCGATAGTATAGTTGTCTATTGTGATATTATCTTCATTGTCAGTTATTCTTTTGACTGTCATATACGTTTTTTGCTTCGTTTATTTTGAGACCTCTTTTTCTTGCTTCAGGATCAATTTGTTTGAACACTTACATTAGTCGTGGCTTATTCCTACTAATGATGGCTACATCGTCTGCATATGCAGTAATTTGTACTGATTTGGTGTTTATATGGCCGGTTATATTGGTTTTTTCTGATGACTGCCTCAAGAACTAGGTTGAATAGCATGGTTGATAGGGCGTCTCCCTGTCTTACTCCCATGTTGATGTTAAACAGGGGAGTCAGTTGTCCATCTACTCTGACTGCGGCTTTTGAACCCTGCAACGTCATTTTTATGAGGCTGATGTGTTTCTTAGGTATACCTAGATTACAAAGGTCCTTCCAGCATTTTGTCTCTTTTCACACTATCAAAAGCTTGTTTAAAGTCTATATACATATTATATAGGTCTATGTCGTATTCATAAGCTTTTTCTTGTATCGTTCTTAGTATGAATATGTTATCTGTAGTGGCTCTATTTGGTCTGAATCCATTTTGATAATCACCAATTATATTTTCGGAGTATTCTAATAATAATCTATTGTAGATTATACCAGAAAGAATTTTGTATATTACATTTAGCAATGTAATTGGCCTATAATTCTGGCATTCTCTCTTATCTCCTTTTTATATATTGGCTGCATGAGGCCAACTGTCCATTCCTCTGGCATTTGCCCCTTCGTCCATATTGATGTTATTAGGTAATGGATTCTTTCCCAGAGTTCGGATCCCCCATGCTTTAATAATTCTGCCGAAATTCCGTCCGTTCCTGGTGCTTTATTGTTTTTTTAGTTTATTTATTATCTGAACTACTTCTTCATAACTCGGATTTTCGATGTGCAGCTCCGCCGTGTAATATATTGTCTCGTTCTGATCATTTTCATCGTCTGCATTTAGATTTTTTTCGAAATATTGTTTCCATCTCATTATAATTTTTTGCTTCTCTGTTAGTAGTTCTTCGTCCTTGTCTTTGCATATCGTTAGTTTTGGTCTAAATGACTATGTGCTTTCTTTTATGCATTTATAGAATTTTCTGCTTTCGCGTGTGTTGTTATTCTTTACGATTTCTTGTACTTGTTTTTTCATAGCCTCTCTTTTCTTTCTTCTGCATATTCTAGTCGCTTGTATTCTTTTTTCGTTATAAATCTCACTGCTATTTCTTGTGTTTCTTTGAAGTTGATTAAGCCTAGCTTGCCTTTTTTTCGTCTACTGCAGTTCTGCATTCATCGTCATACCATTCCGCATTTCTTTGCCTTTTGGCTTTTCCGAGAGTTTCCTCTGCTGACTCCGTTTTACCTTTTATAGAACTTTTAAATTTACAGCGTTGTCTTTTATAGTCTTATACGAGTAACTGACCAATTTACTCTAGTGCATCAATTGAAAACTTAACGAAATAACCATTCTTTAACTCCAGTTTATCTGTTTCAGAAAAAAATCGACAAAAGGGGTCGTAAACTAGTCGACTACGACAGTCAGCGACACAGCTTCCAAGCCCTACAGACCAACATGAAGAAGAGGGACGAAGTGAAGATCGCGAAGGGCCGGGAACAATTAGAAGAAGCAAAGCGAACATACGAGATGTTAAATTCGGAACTACACGACGAACTGCCAGCACTATACGATTCCAGGATTCTCTTCTTAGTCACCAATCTCCAGTCTCTCTTCAACGCTGAAAACACCTTCCACATAGAATCTGCTAAAGTAAGTTATTTGTATATATAACTTTTTGCTTTATTACAGTCTTATAATTTCTTCCATTTTTTTTTTTCGAGTGTTGCATCCGATGATGAAAGTGATTACAACCGAAAAAAAATTAAAAATAAACTGTTTTCGAAGTCCACGAAACATGCAAATACATCTTTTCTTTGGTTACGGCAATTTTGTAATAGAATATTAAGCGCAAAAAGCCTCCCTGGTTCCCATAGCATTTCTAAAACCAAATTGGGTATCTTCGAGATGTTCTTCGCATTTGTGTCTAATTCTGTTGTGAAGTATTCTTAGGAAAATTTTAAGAGTGTGGCTCATTAGGCTAACTAATCGATATTCTGAGCATTTTCTCGCATTGTGTTTGTTTTAGGTATTGCGACAAAGATTTGAGCCAATCTGTGAGAATTACTCCGGTGTTATTATTGAATTAAAAAGTCTTACTACTACTTTTATGTTATCATCCTCTATTAGTTTCAGCAACTCGGTGTATCATCTGGACCACAAGCTTTTCTAATTTTAGCATTATTCGAGCGTATTATTTTAGCGTATTCTACCTCGAACTTTCATAATCTTTAAGCCGTCAGTACAGTTTTGGTAGAATTCGGCAATATTATTCCTGTAATATTCAAACAACTCTGACATTTACAGCTGCTATTCTTTTCTTATTTTTTTGCGCATTTACAATAATTTTGTTATTATTGTCAACGAGTATAGGGGGAATTCGTTTTTTAAACATGTTAAAGATACTGCAAACACTCCTGACCATGGAGCTGCGCGAAGGCGGACTCAAAATTCACGTAAAGACAGAAAGGTTCTATTGTAAGTGGAATTATAGAGTGCATAGTACAATGTGTTTCGCATGGAAGTGGGGACTAAACCAAATTTCGTCTACTGCGCCGTGGTCAGGAGTGCTTGCACTATCTCTACTTATTTCTTTTAGTTTTTTGTGCACATTAAACAAGTCGTGTTTAGATATTACATCCTCCATTTCGTCGCACCTTTCTCTCATCCATTTTTCATTGGCTAATTTGATCTTCTTTTTTATTCTTCTCTGCAAGTGTCTATATTCTGTTTCATTAGATTTTATCAGTCGACGTTGTTCCATTAATTTTAAGATGTCGTCTGTCATCCATTTATTTTTCTTGATTAAGTTTTTTCTATAATCATTGTTTGTGGAGATTTCGTTAACTTGATTTTAAAATTCACTCCACGGTTCTTCTGGATCTTCTAATTGTTCTCCGATGTTTTTGATCTTGATTATGGTCATCCGGTGCATCCTGCTAGATAACAAATGAGGCTCTGACGTCTGAGTGATTGCCGGTATAAGTAATCCCCCACTTACTGACCAACGGCTTAGGGCCGATGAGTTGGTGAGTGGTAGGCCATTCTTTTGTCGTGGGGTTGAGAAATCGGTCCCGAAGGCGGATGAATCAACAAATAATGGTCAACGGCATAAGAATGCAGAAGGCAAAGGGGAACCACTGCATTAACGGCTCATAGAGCACCGGGAAAATCACCGTAGATATGGCTATTTATTCCGATAAATTGCGATGTTTATCATTATTACCTCCAGTCAGACCATCTTGTCTATATCTTCTCAACTTGTTATTGTGTAGGTAATGGGAGAACTCGAAGCCATCGTAGACAAACTAGCAACAGACAGTCAAAGGGGGTCCTACAGCGTAAAGAAAACTAACGGAGCCAGTCTTCCTCGTCCAACTAGCCTTCCTAAAACTAAAGATATTATCATCAACAATACTTCCCCAGTGAACTCGAATAGAGGTAAGTGTTTAAAACGATATTTAGTTACTTTTAGTGTGTTTAACAATGTTGTTTATAGTCAGAACATTTAGTTACAGGTATTTTGACAGTTTTTTCTGATCCGGTCAAACATTTCTATCAAAATCAAATCATTTATTGCTCGTCTCCATCGCGAAATGTATCTTTCCAGCTCCTTCTTGATTATTATCTCACTAGCTGCACTAGTTTTCATTAACTTGTTGAAAGTGTTCATTTTAATAATGGTGCAAATTTCTATCCTATATCTTAGATCAAAACTTAATCTGAGAGGAGTCGAACTAAATTTTGAAGACGTAGGTCTCTTCTGTATATGGTGATATTCATTCACACATGGAGACCAGTGAAGTAGTTTTGTTATCATTCATTAACAGCAAAATCATTAAACGACAAAGTTACTAAACTGTGAATTTAGGACTCACTGAATTGTTGCCTTTTAGCCGTTACGTAATATCTTTATAATTGTTTTATTATGAAGACGACATCTGGTGTATCTTTTGATGTAATAAACTGGAAGTCATGCAGAAATGTTTACACTTACATGGTTTTGCTATTGAAACCTCGGTTATTATTCAGTACATGACTTCCCGATTACCTACTTTTTTCAGATTACTTAATCTCGACGACAAAAAAAGTAAAAGCGACAATTATTCTTTTTTTTAACTGTTAAAAATAATTTGTTTAGTGTACAACCTTGTTTTACGTTTTACGTTATCTTAATGTGTGTTTCGAGTTTGTTTTTTCATGTACAAATCTCTAAAAAATGCTGCATTAATCATAAAATGTTCTATGATTCATTATTAATCAATTGACAATTTTAATTCTCATCAGTTTCGATTTTTACGTAATAAATTAGATAGACCAGGGAAATCAGAAATTATCAGGACAGTCGCTAAGTACCTAACAATAATTGTTTTAGATTATACCGTGCGGTCCATATGTATGGAATACATTCATTTTTAGCTTTATTATGTACTATGTGAAAAATACCTGGAACAGTTTAATTTTTTTCTTAAATGGACAATATTGACAGTATGAAAATATTACCCCTCCAGCACCCCGTTTGAATTATAAGCACCTCCACGAAAATTTTAAATAACAAAGGGGGTCGTGCGGCACCTTGTTAGAAAGGGATTTTACTCCTCCGTTCAGCAATATAAAGTTTTTTAAGTTTGGTGCAATCATAAATGAGAAAATTGATTTTTAAGATATAAAATTTTGATAATGCCTGTATTACAAAACTTTAAATGAAGATAATAATGTCACATAATATTTAGAATGTATTTTTCAATACATGGTTTTCGCGATTTCCGGCAAAACTAAAAGTCCAATGGGAAAAAGTTAAATGCCAAAGCTATAGGCAATAAAAAGATCTAGAACTTTTATGTTTACACTTTTTCCACATAACCTCAAAATATACGAAAAACTCAAATAAGTAAGAAAAGCCTTCGGACCAGGTCTATAATCGATTCCTTTTTCAGTTTTTTGATCAAATGTAATGTCAAACACATTTTTACTGGTTTCACAGTTGAACGCATTATTCAACGCATATAGAACCTAAAACAATTATTGTAGTACAGTGCGTGTTAAAAAACACTCATTTCCCTGGACTAAATAATCATGGTTGTTATGAATTACAGTTTATAAGTGTTTTTTTTAATCATTTAATGAACAATTTATTTTTACGTGGTTATATATTAATAATAATTAGTTTATTTGGATTGTTATATATTTTCTTTTTTCGATTTTCTTCTAAGTAATTTGTTTGTCTCATACGCTTCTGTCAGGAACAAAAACTATTGGTAACTAATACTTTTTTAAACTGCCCCCTCGCAGACATTACACCTGGAAGTCGCCAGCAGACTCGAAAGAAACAAATGTAAGAAACCAGATCGACTTCATTGCCATACCAAAAAGATTCAGAAACTCAATCACATCAGTGAAAACCTATCCCGGGGCTGACGCTCAATCGGATCACAACCCAGTGGTGGGTAAACTGGGAATCAAACTAAAACGTATAGAAGGGAAGCCTAACAAAACCAAGATAAACATTAGGAAATTAAAAGATCCCAACATTAAACAACAAGTACAGGAATCCTTAAGAAGAAACACTGGAAACTTGAGTGAACCCGCACAAGACGGCCGTTGCTAAATGGGAAGAAATAAAAAGAGCTGTAGAAATGACAAACAAGACACTTCTGTTGCAGGAGCGCGTAAAGAAGAAAGAATGGATGACGGATGAAATCCTTGATATGATGGAAGAAAGAAGACAACACAAATGCAAAAATCAAGTGAAGTATCAAGAAACAAGTTGTAACCTCGGAAATCTTTTTTGGGTGGTGCTAGAAAGATAACCAATGGAGGACACTGCGGACAGCAGCCAGATGGTTGGTGTAGAGAGAGTCGTGAGTTCGAAACTAGCTTTTGGAACCGGAGATGGATCCAACGGAAGAAATAGGTAAAGATAGGATAAGAGATATTAGAAAAGATACAGAAATAAACAAAAAGATAGATGGGTAAAATTACCAAAGATAAGAAAAGATAGAAACAGGGCGCCACTCAATTTTTTGGGGTTAAGGAGAAAATTAAGAAAACCTTAGAAAAGAAAAGAGATAAGAAAAGATATTTAGCTTCAGAGATCAAACCAAGGAAAGATACCAACAGTAAATTATCAAATAAATCTGGTCAACGCAATATATAAACAAATAATAAATATATTAGTTATTACACTTACTTACCTACGAAATTTAATCAACCTGATCTTTCTACTGGTCAAAAGCATAGTAATATTTAAAGATAGTAATTGTTCAGAGCTATTATTTTATCAGGGAACTTGTTAGGAGCCGACAAATAAAATACATGCATAAAGCAATAACAATATATTAAACACAAAATTATGATGCTGCTAAATGCAACCCAGGTAATAAAAATACACAACTATGAAATGGTGTGATATATGTATAAAATTAAGCTATAATGTAATAAAAAAATACCTTTACCAAGATGTATAAGGCAATCATATACAAATATAGTTTGGCGTATCTCGAAATACAAAAGATAGCAAAAATTACTTAACTCTAAATTTACAAAAAAAAAAACAAAAAGGTTACAAGAATGAAAACATAAACCAAACCGCACTTGGCTAAGTCAATTAACTATCTCGCACTATTATTTGATAAAAAAACTGAGACTTGTATGTTCATAGGTAATATTTATAGAAATTTCTTGAATGGTTCAATTACATTCAAAAATCGGCAATCTTCAGGTGAAGATATAGATGATACGTCCAGTTAATGGCAGGTGATATGGTACCATACCATATTACTCGCCCAGATAATTGTAGATAAAGTTACTTACAGTAGAGCTTGACGAAGGCAGCTTAATTCACTGAATTTAATACTTTTCTGGTACTAAACACTGAATTTAATAACCATTAAAGGTAGTGTAGAACTATATATAATTTAATATAGTCTAAGGAAAGAAAATTCAAATATAAAGTATATACACACTTAGAAAATAATTCACAAAGACGATACGATAAGAAATAAAGTGAGCAAAGCGTAACACGAGATATTGGCCTTAACTCAACAACGGCCTACCAACAAGTAACTTGGTTCCACTCAAAATTTCACCAACTGTCCCTGAAAAAGGAAGAAGAAAATATTCCCCCACTCAAGAATGATAGGACAGTTGTATGTGTTTCTCAGAAGGTAAGGCCTTAACGACTATTGGAAACTACGACTATTGAGGTAAAATAATCGGTATTAACAATTGGACATAAGAAACAGACAATACTTGGGATTTGGTTTTGTCAAAAGAAAACGGGCCTTCGACGAAAATTACCAATTTATGAAAAGGAAACTGCATACCAAAACGCATTATACTCTTTTCATAATGAATATTATGACGGAAGGATTAAAAACAATTCCTAATTAGGGAATTCCATTTTAGCTGGGTATCTACAATATTTTGCTATCGATACACGATCATAGGCGTATCGCACGGGGGTAAAAGGAATTAGAAATATTTAATATATTAATAATAATAAAAAATGTTACAAAGTCACAATATAAAAACAAAGATAAAGGAAGATATGACTACCACAACATGCACAAAAAGATCAAAGAATTAAACAACTAAAAAGAAAACCAATAATCCCCACCCGACACTAATAGGACGCAGACGGTAACCTTATATCAGACGACTTGAAGCTCATTGACACATGGAAAGATTATGTAGAACGACTTTTTAACGATAAACGCAGAGCGACAGTGGACCAAGATGACGACATGACTGGACCCGAAATACTAAGGTCTGAAGTGGAAAAAGCAATTTCATCGCTAAAAACGACAAAACACCAGGTCCCGACAACATACAGGGTGAGATCATAAAACTCCTATGCGAAACGGATGACCACTTCCTCGATTTTCTGACAGGCCTTTTTAACACCTTTTACGACAAAGGGGAGATTCCGGCTTCGGGAGTGGCTTCAATCGACCTTTGTAGCCATACCCAAAACACCAAGTGCAAAACACTGTGATCAACACCGCCTAATAAGCTTGATAAATCACATTACCAAAGTTTTCACAAAAAATCATACACAATAGAATATATAACAAATGCGAAACAAATATATCGGAGTCACAGTTCGGATTCCGAAGCGCATTGGGCACAAGAGAGGCGATCTTCAGTCTGCAAGTTTTAATTCAAAGATGCAGAGACATGCACAAGGACGTCCACTTGTGCTTCATCGACTTCTCCAAGGCGTTTGACAAGGTCAAATATGATAAACTCATGGAAATGCTCAGGAAGATGCATATTGATGGCAAGGATCTGCGCATAATAACCAGTCTCTATTGGAACCAAAGTGCTGAGATAAAGATGGGCAACTTACACAGTGCGAAGATAGATATGAAAAGGGTGTACGACAGCGATGCGTCCTCTCGCCGCTCCTGTTCAATATATATTCTGAACAAATCTTCAGA